ATAACCTCAAAAAAACAAAACTCCTCGACTTTAACTATTTCAATTGATTTCCAGTTTTAAAAGCTTTTAAACCGAAAATAGTTTTGCAAACTTTTGAGCGAACAGTAGTCTTCGATTACTTTTAACAGTTAAAAATACAAACTACAATGAGACAGTTCTAAATAGTAAGTTTGATTGGAAAAGACTTCAATACTTACTTTGTTTAACAGCAGCTCTGCCTACTGTTTTCCGGTGCAGTCTAGATTTTTTGTTTGTTCAGCAAGTGCTTTATTGTTCTATAGATATATTCACCGATTTTTCATTATTTATCTAAAGTGATAATTTCAAAAAAGATTTAGAACAGATTAGAAAATCCGTGATCTCAGTGGAATACCACTAATCTTCAATGATTGATATGAGCTAGAAACGGTTACAGAAGAGGCTCAAAATGAATTGCCTATGTGACAAGATAACTTCCATGTTTCAGCATTTTTCCCAAAGTGTGATGTCGCTATATAATTTGTCATCTAGGTTTTCGTGATATCCAAACAAATCTTTATCGAGATCTTGTTTCTTCGATAAACTATTTCAATCTGTGAAAACCTTTTTCGGGGTTATTAGCTGGCCCAAGTTTTCTGTTTTTTCAAAGCTTCTTGGTTTTGCATTAATTAAGAAAAGGAAAATCAGCTATTCTATCAGCAATAAAACTTTATACTTATCATCTTTTGCTAAAAATTAAAAATTTTCAATTTTTTTAGACACTAAAGTCTTTTTCAGGCTGGAAACTAATAAATTGAGGAGTATTCTACTGGTACACAAACTTTTCAAAACAGTTCTACATAATTTATAATTTGGAACTTCTTGAAGCAGACGAAGGCTTCTAAACAATTAAGAGCTTTCATTATATTAGTTCAAAACTTTCAATTTGAAATAGTAGTTTACACCTCTGTTTTCGAACCTGCAACAGTTTTTTAGCAATCGTTCAGTTTTAGCAACTCAGTACACGTCTTTGAACCTTAGCAGCATTATCTATAGTTTTCATTCCTACCGTGCACTCAAAGTTGCAATCAAAAGCACAAAACAGTTTTAGCTCTTTTTGTAAAGATTACCACAAATTTTAGCCTTAACTTGTAGGCTGTTTCTTAGTTGTACATTTCTAAAACTAAGAGCTTTATAGCTATCTATCAACAATTCATTCCGATTTTTGTAACTTGACTGTAAAATACTTGGCTTCAAAAAATTTATAAAAACCAAACTGCATCATTTACTTTGTTGCTTTCTGAATTAAACTTCAGAACTGTCTGCCTGTTAACGTAAAAGAACTGGTGTTATATAAATTTCTGCTATAACTGTCACAGAATAGCTTCTGAACAATTTTCACAGATGAGTCGTTGCTGTAAGCAGAAAAAGAGTTTTGGTGTAGACAACAAATGAGATCAATTCAGCAAACTAGTGAAGACAAGAAACTGGAACGGACACCTCACTATTTCTGCTTCCGAAATACAATATACTTATACCACACAATGCTGTTTGATCTGCTACAAAAACTAGTAACTAGAAATTGCTCTAAAAACGGTTTTATAATACTTGTTGATTATCATTTTAAAATGTATGAAATTACAAGAATGAAGTTATAAGAAACAATGTACATAGTGATGCAACAATGTAGCTGTCCCTTTTTACTAGACAGTATTAATCCAAACGGGAGAGTTTCAATCCTGCAACAAAATTTTAGATTTTGACTTCTTATTGCATTCTATTCTTCTATGTTTTCTTCGGTTAAAAAGCACTGGCTGGTTAGTTATTGACAACGATTTGTATCACTAATGAAGAAAATATGAATGAAATATGCCATGTAAGGATAACATATAATTCTGCTCATGTTGCTTTTGCTTCCACATTGGTAAAACTACAATCAGAATATTTTCAAAACAGTTTTTTTTTCTATAACTGCTTGTTGAAAAGTGCGATAAGATTTTTAACACATAACTTTACATGTTTCTATCCATAAAAAGTGATTTAAACACCAATCATAAATAGTTCTCAAAACTTGTGCAGTTCTAATTATTTTTCTTCTTTTTTGACTGTCCTGAAGAAGACCAGAGATCAATTCATTTTTTTGTAACATACTGATAATTGTTTAATATTATATTTTCTTGAAAGAGTTGACATCATTTACAAATTTTATTTCCTGCACTAAAGTGCTCTAAACAGACAAAATGACTCCTTCAAAGAGTTAAAGATATTTTTGTAATAACTGCTGTCTCCCATCGGACTAGAAAAAGTGATAAGTCATAGTCATCGACCTTTTTTACTGCGGTAATTTTTGTTGACAGGTCTACTTTGGTTCTTTTTTTTTTTTTTTTCCAAAAAACAACGTGGAAATAAACGATTGAGCATTGTTGAAAACCAAAATTAGGGCACATAACAGCATTTAATATCATAAAAAGTAACAATTTCAATTGCTCTGCTCTCTGTTGAAACAGAAGCGAAAGCGTTGGATAAAATGGATTTTATTGTTCAAATACAGGTTGAATAAAAAAAAATTCAAAATTAAATCTAAAAAACTGAAGTCTTAGAAGCAAGTGTTTTGTAAAAAATTTATGCTACAACTGGTGATTTGTACATTTCAGATTTGTGTAGAAATTTTCACAAGATGGCAAGCCAATTTGTCATTGGAGAAGAAAGTTTTTTTTACATATATTTAACAAAGATCAGCTGATAACTGATGCCTAATAAAATTTTAATATTTTATCTTTTTTCATTATTTTTTACTTTTAACTGCTATTATAAATTGATATGTCGTGTTCAAGTGCAGAACATCTCATGAAACATATATAAAGTTGTATTTGAGGCTTTGAGATTTACTAGAGGTCTGAATTTGGTTGGAATGAAGTAGGAGTATAAAGAACCAAGCAGATATTGTTGTTTCGCTTTAATTAAGTCATCACTTTATGGGTTATGTTAAAGAAGCTCTGAATAAAACAGGAACTGATACATGAAGAAAAAAATATTTTTGCAAAACGCTTGTAAGTTGCGTATAATATGTAAAAAAATATTTTGTAAAGTAAAATTTAGGACACCTTATTTAGTCCTAGACGACCTGAATTTCCAGTTAGGTTGTACTGGTTAACACAGTTGGCTGTTTTAATGCTAAAAATTCGGAATGTTTTAACTTAGAAGGTTTCGTGGCTGAACTTCGCAACTTGCATCGTTGGTAAATGCAACGACATGGAGAAAGCCGAGTAATCATTGACATTCCAAGACATCTATCTGTTGTACCTTAGAACACTGAACTAGGTCAACTTGATCAGTTCAGCACTAACTACTTTAAAAAAAAAAGAACCAACCAAGCTTAAAATTCTTTTATACTACTTAACTTTGGCATTTAATTGAATATGCAGTCAATCGTTATTATTAGTTTTGGTGTGTTCCAAAAACGAATAACAGTCGCAAATTTGATGAACACTTGTTAAAGCATTTCAAAATATGTGCATGGAATAGTCTAAATTCATAAGAGGAAGAAAAAAAAATTAAAATTTTTAAAGCCATTTAATACGAATCTCATTTTACATTCACTTCTTACAAATTATAGACCTAAGGAAACACGTTTAGTCGGTAAAAAAAGCTGACAGTACCGAGCAATAATTTTTTCACATTTTATTCATTAGCCTAAACACGGGTGCTGTTGTCTGAAATAAATGAAACGAAGAAAATACAGCAAGAAAAGTAACTTTTGTAACTAAAACTTCGTTGTTATAATGTATAAGATTAAAAAAAACCATAAATTGCAAATGATAAAAGTTTATAAAACTATATTTTTATTATCATCTGTTAATAAATGTTTTGTAAATTTCTCAACAATTTTGCTAAAAAATCAAAAAAAAAAAAAAAAAAAAAAA